GGAGACAAGCTCTCATTATTATCTACACAAGTACGAAGCGCTTTTTCTGGACGCACTTTTCGTATTTGGTTTCTTTAAAAAAAGAATTAAAACTTATTAAATAAATTCTAGCCTCATAGTGCTGACTTAAAACCTGCGCTTCGGCTAAATGATAGTTTAGAGTGTTCTTAAGAAAAGTACGAAGCCCTATTTTAGGGGTAAAAAAGGTCTGCTGCGGCTGGGTTTCTGTCTAATTGTTACAGACATTTACATTACATTATGATGGAAATTTTTAATTTCAGGCAAATTTGAAATGCATTAAATCAAAAAATCGAGATTTTTGAGATTTGCCGTTATTTTTATCAGTGATTCAAAGACCATTTTCGTAAAACTTCATTACCATCGACTGATATTTCAGAAATGAGCGATTAGTGTTTAGATCGGGGGTTTATCGATTGCGTAGCTTTTTTTTTTAATGTTGACCCAACCTTTTCTTCCATTGTGAACTCGAATTTGGGCTAGTTCGAGTAATCGAATCGAATTCAAGATAAAGATGTTTAAAAAGTAATTTTGAAAATTTAATAACTGGTGATACCTAGTTCTAGGGCAATTTTCGAATTTGGCGGAAAAGTTTTTGGGTTTTTTATTTTATAAAAAAAGAGTATAAGAGAAGGATATTAACGAAACCGTAAACTAAGCCAAAAGCAAACAATTATCATTACATGGAAATGGTCGTCGCCAAAAAATTTCTTTTGACTTAAGTATTTAAATTGATTAAGAGTCAGACATGCGCTACTGACAGAGAAATGCATTTTTACCTTTCGTTTTCATGAAATGTGGATATATCGCCTAGCAGACATCAAACCATCAAATATAGTATTATAAATCGCTTATTGATTGAAATATAATAAATTACTATTAATTTCCACACCAAACACACACCGAGTCCACTTGTCGGTCATTTATAGAAGCATCTGTTGTGAACGGATTTCGCATTACACCAGGAAAAGTAGTTACTACGCATGGCTTTCTACACTTTTCTTAGAAACCAATCCATTTTAAATCAATAAAACGGCCGTAAACGTTCCTGTCGTAGTGTTTGTGTCTGCTAAAAATGGAAACAAAGACCGGCTCTATTTGTATAAGTAACAACGTTAAACAACCCACGTCTCCAGTTGTGATCTTCTCGGCTAATTGCAATTTGTCAATTCAATGGTAAAAGTTTGAGTCAATGTGCACCTGACTCAAACTTTCTTCAAATGAAGTAAATCAATCAGTTGAACTTTTTGGGTTAATGCATAAGTGAATCAAAAACTAATTATGATTAGGTATGGTAGTAATAAGCTATAAGATTAAATTTAATTTACATTGATTCTGCAGAATACATAACACTATTTCATTCTTTTTTTTGTAGATTAAAACGAAACTAGAAGGAAGGAAGAAAGCCATAAAACGTACAAAGCCACGGTTAAGGTAAGCAACAAAATGTATATTTGTTTCATAAAAAATAATTTTTGCAAATGTGTCCTTATTTCCACGTATAGTTAGGACGTTCAAAATTGGCATAGTTGGCAATAAAACTGTCCCATTTACTTTCTTCTTTCGACTTACTGACTAGACTAGAGCGGTTGCTGACAGAACCGCCTACTTTTACTCACGACAGACGTTATAGGGAATATCGTCAACATAGAAAAGAGATGTCAGGTAGGAATTGCAGCGGACACTAATAAGGAATACCATTATGGTTAGGGTTGCCACCTTTTCAGGCTTTACATAAAGTATTTCTCGACTAAAAGGTTCAAAAAACAGTACTTGGCATAAAAATAAAGTATTTAATTTTTTGTTACACCTAGCAGCCAGTAACAAATTGCTGTC